GCCTCTCGCCCTATGACAGCTGGGATAGGCTCCAGCGCCCCCCGCGACCCTGAAAAGGATAAGCGGAAGCGAATGGATGGATGGATGGTGTATATATATATAAATATATATATATATAATTTGCAAATCATTGTATTGTGTTTTCTGCAACTGGGCTCTTTTGTCCATCCATTTCCAACTCGGGAGTCCTTTGCATTTTTTTAAAAGCAGGAATGGATTTTGGGGGCAACTAAAAATAAACTGGGCTTTTTCTCATATGTCAGTATTTCCTGTGTCTTTGTGAAGTGTAGTGATTCCATATAATCCGTAAAGGTCTAGACCCTGAGCCCTCTGGTATTTTAATTCCACTGAGGATTTCTTGCAGGCAGCAGGGGGGGGGGCTGTGTCCACCTTTTGGCCATCTTGGATGTTTGGATTGTTTATAGGTAGCCTTGGAATGTGAGATAGAAAGAACCCTTTGGAAATTTACTCTAAAGTTGAATCTTAAAACAGAAGAAACGGGTTGTCCAACACCAATCAGATAGGTTTGACTAGCTGAGACGATTGTTTTCCTTCGTCTGTTTTTCACTCATTCAGCATTCTTGTTCCTTTATATTAGCTTAACAGTCTTCAATTTGAAATCTCTAAATATTGCGCTTTTCTTTCCACAGCTGAACTCGCTGTGAACCTTTTCATCACTGATAAGTGAGAGACAAAGCAAAAGCTAATTCACCTGCAACATAAGACATTAACTAATGCCTATCTGCAGAGTAGTATGTAGATTTAGCCGCCTTTACTGATTTCAAACAACAGGCCTCAGGGCAAGTTTAGCAGTACCCAGACGTAGTGTGTTATGAGAATGTGTGTAGTGGGGTGATGGTTAAAGCCAGGAGGGGAATGGTATCTGGTCATCCATCTACTATCAGTTCTCAGATTTTTGCTTGAAGTGTGGCCATCAGCAGCAGAGTAAAAGCTGCCTGGTGTCAGTGCAGAGCAGCAACTGTGTCCTGTAACCACATGCAGAAGTACATGTGATCAATAGCGAACATCTGCGATGAGATCAAAGAAGTTCCTTGTCTCTGCAGTAACACCTTACAGATGAAGCCTCTGTGTGTCGGCTTTCTTCCTTTGGTACCTGGGCATTGTGCCATGTGGAGTGAATCAAGATGTCTTTCCTCTTCAAATGTATTGCAGATATTAATCAATACTGGCACATCAGATTCAGAGCTCCCAATTTTTAAGCAGTGGTGCAGCCAGAAATGTGACTGGGTGTGGACAAACAGGCTAAAGTGTTGAAACTGTGGTTTCAAAAATTTGTTCTGAAGGTATTTGATAAAATATAATACTCCAAGTATCCAAGGTTCTCGATTACAAAACTGTTGCATTTTGTATTATTGGGTAGGTTTGGTTCTACATGCATGTACAGCATCTGTTACTGTTCAATTTGTTTTCTATTTAAGTAGAAATCAACATAGTCTCAAATCAACATTTACATTGTCTCCTTCCAGTCACAAGCAACCTGTCTTGGGTCAGAGGGAAAGTAGGCTAGACATGCATAGATTAAGGGTAGGGTTACGATAACATTCACTCATGTTATGAAATTTCAACTGTCTGATCTACCCAAATTAATATGTTTATGACAGAAGAACTTTAAGGCCAAAATACATGCATGTGTGACACTTAATTTGCAAAATATCAACGTTTAACTTGCTCGCTACACATAAAAACGAACTCAACCGTAAATGGGGATATCATTGAGGAGGTCAAGGGTCATCCTTAGACATCAGGCATTGGGGTTTACTTTTAACATATCACTTGGCAGTAGTCTGCAAACAGTATTTTATGTTTTGGGTGAAATTTCGCATGTTGAAAAGGTGAACATAAGTGATTGGACTAAAATTAGTTGTTTCCTCGGGCGACCGTGGCTCAGGGGGTTGGGAAGCGCATCTGTAACCGGAAGGTTGCCGGTTCGGTCCCTGGGCTCTCTGTCCTGGTCGTTGTGTCCTTGGGCAAGACGCTTTACCCTACCGCCTACTGGTGATGGCCAGAGGGGCCGATGGCGCGATATGGCAGCCTCGCTTCTGTCAGTCTGCCCCAGGGCAGCTGTGGCTACAACCGTAGCTTGCCTCCACCAGTGTGTGAATGAATAGTGGCATTGTAAAGTGCCTTGAAAAGCGCTATATAAATCCAATCCATTATTATTACTAAGGTTTTATGCCATCATCTAGCTGTGATAACAGAGTTAGATTTTGGTGCGTTCCTCTGTCTGTCTCAGTCATGTATCATTTTTGTTACTACTAATGTGAAAATGTGTATGATGCATGGTAAGACTGACCTCCACCCCAAGTTGAAAGGCAAAGATCAAACAAGTGTGAGGTATGCATGCTGTCAGAAGTGTAAGATTATCTGGTGACTTTAAAGGTTTAGGTCAAATTGATGTGTTTATAGGGGGTGAAGTTGTTGGGGCTCGCTTAAATAAATCACAGTTATGGTTGTAACATTGCACTCCAGATTTATGGATATTCAGAATATAAACTAACATCAGAGTCTTAAGCGTGGATGCTCCTCCTTTTTCATGTAATTGTTTCAACATTTCTTCCTGTACTGTATCAGAAAACTCGCTTATAAAGACATACACTTTGTAGAGGGTTTACCTAAAGTAGAACTGAAAGAACTGCAATAACTGACTGTGGGTCTTTTACATTTCTACAGAGGAATTTTAACCCACCCACCTCAGCCCGAATGCCATGTTTTAAGGTCATGTCACAATATGTCAATTTGATTTAAGTCCAGGCTTTAACTTTAACCACTCCAAAACGTTCATTTTGTTTTTATTGAGTCATCCAGAGGTGGACCTGCTGTTGTGTTTAGGGTCATTGTCTTGCTACACAACCCAAGTGCGACTTGTGCTGCAGGGCGTAAACTGATGGCTCGACATTCTCTTTCAGGATGTTTTCATTTGTGGCAGGTAGTCTTTGTCCTATCATCACACTATTGCTGCGATGTTTGACTGTTGGTATGATGTTGTTTTTATGAAATGCGTGACTGGACACACACCTTCCAAAAAGTTCAGCTTTTCTC